AGATGGGCTGCATACAAATTTAATAAATAAACAAATAAATAAAATAAATAAATAAATATTCTCCCATTTCCATTTTTCTTTTTTACTTAAAAACGCCAAACAGCTAAGACTCTTCTCACTTTAGAAATTATACAGAATCTAAAGTACACATAAAATAAACTGGTAAGTAAAATATATTCAGTAATATAAACCCGAAACAGTCTCAGAAATGTAGTGCTATTTTTTGGAATGTTAGCAAAATAAATAAAAAGACAAGTTTAAGCATAGAAGGAATCAAACTGTATTATCAAATAAAACTCTGAACTCTGTAGACATATACAGTCCATTAATGTGCAGTACAAACTGATTTGGCAGCACGTTTTTCTAGTTTCTTCAGTTGTGTAGTTATATGGTAAGAAAAAACACTTACTTGTATCTGCCTGACTTCCTACACTTATATATCTGTCATTGCCAGGAAGCGCTGTTTGATAGTATGTTGTTTCTTCTTGCTGAGGAATCTTGGCATTCTTTGCAGTTAGGAGGGTTACTGCTAATTCTAGGTTCCCATTGCTATCCTTTAAATGCATAAGAATAAATTATCAGTATGCCATTTTATGACCAGCTTCTAACATCAACTCCAGGTACATTTAAAGTTTACACTTCGTCATGAATATCATGTTATGATTAGAAACCTAATCAGCTTAAAAATAACTGTGATGAATGAATAATATGAAAGAAGATAAACAAGTTTAAGACAGAATGCAATGAAAGCCAAACTTTAATCCAAAGATCCACTGATTTAATATATCCATATTCTACAATGCCCAAATGAAACTGTTTAATGCCCAAGTTAGATGCTGCCCGTAGTATACATGTTTCCTAAATAAAACATTAGCAAGGAGGTTTGAAATCAATCTTGCAACTTCAGTGTTGAACATGAATTTGAATAAACAATCAGTTAAGCATGATTAAAATGACCTATGTATCTTATATTTTTAAATATAAAGCCAATGTTGTGTAGTGGTTAAGATGCTGAATTAGGAATGGGGAAATCCAGGTTCTAGCCCATGCTTAACCATGGAAGCTCAATGAATGATTCTGGACCAGCCTCTCTCTCTCTCAGCCCAACCTACCTCAGAAAGTTTTGTTTGGTGAAGAAAAAAGGTATGTAACATATGTCAAGGAAAGGTGTGAACAACAAATAAATAAAGTATGCATATTATATATATCTAGTTCTATTATGATAGAACCCTAGAGTATGAAGGTATTATTTACATCAGCAAGTTCAACTTTCTGCCCAGGCAGGAAGCTGTATTAATGCACCCCATACAGACAATTGTTTAGCCTTCTGAACACATTCAACAAAGGGGAATACACCACCTCAGTGGGTACCTAGTTCCATTGTTATACTGCTTTTACTCTTAGGACCATTTTTCTATTATTTATCAGAAACTGCCTTCCTATCACTTAAAATCATTACTTTGTATCCTGTAGTGTGGAGCAGAGTAGAGGACTAGGTAACTTCTTTTAAGATATTTGAAGAGTGTTATCATAATCCCTACTCAAATGGACTTTTCTCAAGGCTAAGCATGCTCAGTGCCTTCAATCCCTCTTCAGCGATCTTAGCTTGTAGTCTTTTGATCATCCCTGTTGCCTATCCCTGGACCTGTTTCATGTTCTCTGAATCCTTCTTTACGTTAGTCCTTCTTTAACAGCTTTTTAAATATAGACAATGTTCATGGATTGTTTCAGTCTTAGCATTATTAGTATAAGTATTGTCTAAGTATAGACAAAGCACATTAAATTCGTCAAGGCCCAAGACATGATTCTGAGATTTTCTTTTTTCCATTCTGAGGTTTAATATAGATAGTAATAAAAGCTTATAGTTTCTACATCTGAACAGCAAGTGGTTGCAGAGCCTTGAAGTATATATAAACATGGGTGAAGAAGAGAAAGATACACCCTACCCATCATTTCAGATCTGTTACTTTCTAACCCAACAGAGTGTGTGAAAGAAATTAGGTAAGGGGAGTTAAGGCTCTTATCTGTTTCCCCATCTGTTTTTCAGTAGTCTCTCTGAAAACAGAACCTCACAGGACCCAATTTGGTATGGGGAGACAAAAAAAACAAAAAAACAAAAAAAAATTAAAAATGAGCTGGATCAGACTACAAACTGAAGAAAAGAAAAAATGAGATATATTCCCTCAATTCACCTGCAATTCATCCTATTCAAATCCACCTTATGATCTTGTACTGAATTGTATTGTATTAAGCTTTGCTATTTAAAAAAAATACTTTAAAAAGTTTCAACTTAGAAATGTAGTCATTTAATATGGTTATCTTTGAAAACCACTGTACCTTCAAGGCTTGCTGCAGTACTTGAGTGTCATTGATACCAGTGATTTCTCTCAGTTGATTCAGAAACGTCTGCTGGTGCTGAAGAATTAAAGAGCTGGTCAGCATAGAAGACAAATTAAAGCAAACAAACAAACAAAAAAAGCTAGTTAGTGGAAGAAGAAAATACTTGGTTTTTTTCTCCTCTTTAAAGCAATGTGTCTAACAACATCAAGGTGTACAGTTTGAAACTGGGAGCACAGGAAGGTTAGTTTAGAGAAGCTGCTACAACTTCCATTATCTCCAGACAACATACCCATGATAAAGTACAACACAATAAACTACTGTGAATGCTGCTATATCTGCATAAACTTCCACACCATAGATAGTATCTATATATACTTTTAGAATCAAAAACAAATCCGATGTTTTAAAATTGCCTTTCCAAAATTCTAAATCATCAGCACGCTAAAAATGAACTGAAGTTGCCAAAGAACCATAAAGGATCACAAAACAGCTTGAGAAAAAGACTGGTCCCAAAAAGCCTTTTGTTTTGCTTTGTTTTAGATTTATAAGTCACTTTTCAAAATATAACTTTTGTCAGGGGAGTATACAACCAATATTTGAACTAGTATCTGTATTAAACTACTAAGTAAAATGAACAGAGTTTCTGCTCTATGGAATAAAGAACAGCAGATGCCATTTACTTGTGTCAGTTTCAACTTATTTCATGGCTAATTCTGATTCTTTGGGAAAAAGTAAAGGGGTACCAATACTTTTGGCTGCCCCTGTAAAGGATTTCAAAAGCAGCTTGCTATATAGAGACAGGTAAAGGTAAAAGACAGTACACTATTGCCTTCTTTGAGTGATCTGAGACCTAGACTCTATATATCTTGACTGAAGTATAAGTATAAAATTTATTTCATAATTCAGGTAGTCCTCACTTAACCGCAGTTGGGACCTGCAACATCACATGATCACACCCAACTTACGTCAGTTCCACTGTGGTCATTAAGCAAATCACCCATGGTTGTTAAGTGCAAAATCATAAGACCGTGACCTGCAACTTACTACCAGCTTCCCCATTGACTTTGTCAGAAGCTGGCTGTGATAATTGCAAACTGCAATCACATGACTGTGGGACACTGCTCCCATCATAAGTCTGAGTATCAGTCATAAACCTACTTTTTCAGTGCTGTTGTAAGTCTGAACAGTTGCTGAACAGGACAGTCGTTAACCAAGGACTACCTGTAAAGTACCTTATTAAACTGAGTTACATATCCATAGATTTCTACAAAATCTACATTTCAATATGTAATCTTAATCTTTAGAAGAATTATTTTCTTCCAGTCTTAATTGCATTAACATTTAACTAGGTATCAAGCCTGGATGTTTTCAGCCCTGGTTAGTAATTGAATGGTGATTTCTCTTGAAAATTCCAGGGCTGCTAAACTAGGAAGTTGAAAAACATCCCAAAACAAAGAAATAGCAAGCCACTTTGGTATTATGGCCAAGAAAATTCCATGGGAGCAATCCCCAGGAGGTATTTGAGGGCATTAAACTACAATATTGTAACAGAAACAAAAGCTTGTTAAAAAACAGCAGGTATTTTGTTTCTGTCATATCTAATTCTGCTCTGTTTATGTAACTGTATCCTGTACCTTGTTTACAATTATTAGTTCCTCAGAAATAGTTATTTCCTTTAAATATAGGTTTGCATAGATAGAAAATTATGTAGTACATATCACTAATTTTGCAGCTTCTCATTTTCTTGATGTAACATCTAGCTTTATCAACTAATTAAAAAAAAAAATCCATCTAGTTATGGCTAACTCTATTTTGCATAAACTGAGCCCTCCTGTTTATATATACTAAATATTAAGCATAGACAAACAGATAGTTTAAATGGGCAGTAACCAGGTAAAATGCCAACCCAGCATGAAGGTATCATGTAGAGTTTCATTCTCCAGACTCAGTCAAAACTTTACTAACTTTGTAACTGTGTGCTGCCTGTGTAATATGAAACATCAAACTTTCCCACATATGTTGCCAAAAGAGAATCAGTGGGTGCTAACATTATTCATTCAGCAACTGCATGAAGCAAATTCAGAGCAAAGATAGGAACATTACACTGTCTCCATTGTCATAATCATAATCATAACAACAACAACCCATCTAGCCCCTGCCTAACAGCTGTGTTTGAATACTACTTGCTGGGAATCCAGAACTATTGCCTTCATAGACCCACTTTGACTTTTGCATAACAACTGTAAGAAACTGGATACCGGACAAGACAGGGCTAGCAGTGTTTTTATAAGATTCAAAATAAGTTTTAGATGTTTATTGTAGTAGATTCTTTTAAAAAATCATTATTTTAATTAATAAATGGTTATTACATTGTTATAGAATTTTTCAAATTCCATCTTTTAGAAAATACTTAAAAAATTAAAATTATAGAAAATTGAATGCTATGGCTTTAAATGTATAGTTATTATTGCTTAATATTTAATTTGTAGGTAGTAAATATCAACTACATTATTTCCTTTTGTTCAAATTAAATATGTTTCCATAGCAATATTTCTATCTTTTAGACATTATTTTACTCATTTTAAATATTATTGAAAGAGTGACACAGCATCTTCATGCCCACAAGGTGTTTTTAATTACAAGTTCCCACAACACCTGAAATCCAAAACATGTAGAGGAAATCAGGTTACCTAACCCTGAAGTACAGGAACAAAAAACTACTAAATCATGGGACTTCTGAAAGGGCCTTTAAGAAAGCTTTTCCCAGTATGTACCCTCAGATCTGTTGGACTATAGCTCCCAGAATTTTCTATCAGTCTGACAAGTGCTCTTGCACAGGAAGGTCCACTTAATAGTAGGCTATGTGCCTGATTATAGCCTGGCTCCTATAATCAGTTGACTGAATATCCTCAAATGAAGATGGGATCTTCTTGCATTTGCAAGATGCTGATTATGTCTCCAGTTTGTGTTAGCCCCACTGGAAATATCAACACTTGCCTGGTATGACAATAACATTGGTCTGCCCTTTAAAACCTGATTGTCAAAAAAGAAAGAAAGAAAGAAAGAAAGAAAGAAAGAAAGAAAGAAAGAAAGAAAGAAAGAAAGAAAGAAAGGAAGGAAGGAAGGAAGGAAGGAAGGAAG